TGCAGTGATAATTGACTTGGCATAGTTTAGGTACCAGCTTTGGGAAGGCTGTTAATTTATATTACTACCTTACTGACTAGCCACAAGATTCCTGATGATGATTGGTGACTACAGGGCTTACCGGATCAACAATTAACTACGACCGCATTATTTCTGTCCTGTGCTCTGGTAAGTAACTTTCGGCACTGATCCGCTATCTGCCCCCTGCTTACCCTCTTCTGCTCTCTGAAACCTTGCAATGTCACTTCTTTGCGGCGATGTCGTGCATCGGAAATCCTCTTATATTGGGATTCAGCGTAGGGTTCCGGGAGCAGCATTTGCAAGATCAAGGACCATCGACATTGCCGCTTTTCGACCGACTGTAATCACACCAGGCTACAAGGAAGCACAGCAAGAAGATATAATTACTTGTAACAACCTATATGCTGATGGAGTACAAGTGATGCCGTTCGAGAAACTACTGGCCACGGTTGCGTCCACTGGTCAAGCCACGTTCACCACTGTAGAGGAAATTCCTGAAATGGTGTAACAACAGATTCCTTAAATACTCAAAACACAAAATAGAACTTATGTACAAGTCCGTGGGCTGAAGTCGGAGATCCTTAGATAACTCCCAAGTGCAATGTAGCAGATGGGTATTATGGGATCAGTGCGCTTTACCTATGAGAGCCCTCTTCAATCTCTTATTGTTAGACTGATGCTAGGACCTGCTCATGAGATAACAAGCTGATATTTCTTCTAGAAAATGTCCACCAAGATTTCTGAAACCCGTAGACATTCATGGAAGTCCTGATATGGTACTGGAAAAGCAGAGTATAAGGTTCCAGGAAAGTGCAGGAAACAAGCGGAGAGGTGATTCAAGCGTAAATCCCAGAACGTAGCCAGTGATTGGCCGACCCTTACTATTGAAGTGGGCGGTTCGGAAATCTTACCAATACTCCGTATTGCTGCCGAATGCTGGCTTGTTAATTCCACAAGCCAAATAGTGATGGCACTGGTTATTTACTTTTGCTTTTGTTGAAGAAAATACTATTTGAACAGAGGGAGATATTGCCGAATTGCAACCACACCAGGACCACCACTGCGCACACTGGTCTGGGCTATTTACAATATGTGGAAATAAATAGAGGCACCTTGTCCCTACCAGAGGCCTCGCTTGTCATCTCATATACCAAACTAGTTGACAGCGAACTCTCTCCTCGCAGCTGGACTAAGTGTTTACTTGTGAAGATCTTTTGGATGTTATGTATTTCGTCTTTCAGGGTTTAGAGTAGAAGTGTAAGGACAGTCCCTCGGTCCAAGGTGAGTGTCAGATCAGTGAATGGAAAAATATGGAGTAGGGGTAACTTGAACTTGGGTGTTTTATTATTCATAGGGCTCTTTCTCTTGCTGCCTTCCCCTATTGGCAACCAGGGCTTTTAGGGCAATGCATTTCATGAAGGGGGAGCCAGTTAGCAATTTGTTGTTCTCTGCTTCCATTATCCTCCTTGATTGCGATGCTGTGATATCATTTGACATACAACTCTTTCTCTTAATGACACAAGACCTGAATCCCTGAACCCTGACCTTAACCCCCGGGAACCTTGAACCTCAACACCCAGTACAAACACTGGCAACATTTGTTTGTACATCTGTACTCAGCCTTCTACCCCCCTTTGACAGTAGTGCACCTTGGTCCACGTCTACCAGAATGCTGAAACCCCCTCTTGTTACAGGCCAATAGTTTTTTATTCTTTTCTATTATTTGAGTGTGGTTTTATTAGAACCAGCATATGGGCATTTTTGGTTGTCGCCAGGGAAACAAGTTTGAAGTATCACAAGCAAAGACAAATTTGCATTATTTTTGTATATAAAACATGCTACACAGGTTGTTGGAGCTTCTAGAATATTTTCTGAGCTATTAGGAGTATGCTCTAAAGGTCTATCTAGGTGGCTATACCAAAATAAATTTTTGGTGGTTGAGTGCCCATATGCTGGTTCTAATAAAACC